GTACCCTTCGAAGAACAAAACAGCAACTGTGGAATATTTTTTTTGTAAAATGATAAAACATGTTTTTTAGCTCATAATTTTTGTACATGTTCTCACCTTCCTCTGAAAAAAATCCATGCCATTTCTATTTTTTGATCGGGATCATTTGCGGTCCAATATGGGGATCATTTCCGGTCCGGGATCATTTGCAGTTCAGTCTGGGGATCATTTGCGGTCCGGGATCATTTGCGGTCCTGGAATCATTTGCGGACCCGTACAGATCCGCCTAGATTAGCCGAATGCTACCAACGGATCTATCAAAACTTGTATTATAGGAGTTCGGTCTCCGCTCTAACAGGGAAATCAGACTTGACACTACGCACACGCCTAGAACCTTCAAATTCTGCGCGTCAAAGGCTTTTAACTCCTTGCCAGTGCCTGCCTCACTTAGATTCTGCGATAATATACACGAGTTCAATCGCCAGGCTAAGGGAAAGCTGAATAATTTATTATTATTAAATTAAATTAAGGTTAGATTCCAGTCATCACTATTTGCCTATTTTTCTCCTGCAGGGTGACAGAGGGGCGCCTGGAGGTCCTGGCCCACAGGGCTCTGAGGGGGGACCGGTAAGGCGACAGTCGTGACTCTCTGATTTTATAAAAAAAAACATACTCACTGGTGCAGAATGTTACTGTTTTCTCCAGCTAGAAAAGTAGTGTGACGCTTAGTACTGGAAACCATATTGTACTAGCTTATAATTACTTCTTATGGTTGTGAAAAATTCGACGATTCGTTTTATTTCAAAATTTTTGGTACAGTTTGATAGTCAGTGCTATAAGCTTTAATTTGATCTATGCAATTTAAACCGGATGCGCTACATCGCGTGGACGTAAGACACCTCGAAAGGTATACGGTAACCTTAATATTTGAATCTTCTTCAATCAAATAATGACAGTGATAATTACAGAATTTTGGAAAAAAAAGACTGTAGATTGATTGGTCCTAACTTTAACTTGACGCAGATTTAGGAGTACGGAACATCACGCTTCAGATGTGACTGTTACAGGCACACAAGCACAGTATTTTTGTACTTATTATTTTGGAGGTGATACATGCTACATGTTATGCTGTACAAATTAAATTCTTTTTCCTTGAAGGGTTTACCTGGTTTACCTGGTCTGGCTGGATTTTCTGGATCCAAGGGTGAATATGTAAGTTCTTCTTTGTTTTTTCTCAGATGATTAGCGTAGATATTTGTCGGCACTAAGATAGAGCGGTTTTCATTTGAGTGTCAAAACTAATTAGACAATTACTTTGGTTTTGGTTTTGGTTTTACTACGGTTTGAGATTGGCTGAGAAGTCTAATTGGTAAGTAATTGGTTTGGTTTTGGTTTTACGACACTCAATTGAAAACCGCTCTATTAGGAGTGCTTGGTATTTATGACGAAGGTGTAACTAAGCAATTTTGTTTGTTTCCGAAACGTTTAAAGAGAAACACTTTTATAGCCAGTCTTTCCCTGCATCAATATTTATGCACAGAAAATATTTGATTTATCCTTGCTCATGCTTTACCTTACATCGTGAATTAACTTGTCCCAAATCTGGCCCTGATGTTTGACTGTTGTCATGGAGAGTGAAGGTAGTTGTGTACGACTACAGCACTACAGGTTCACTTTCCATTGTCATCATGGTGTGTTCTGGGGAAGCATCCTTTAACCGCTTTGTAAAAATGAGTGCAAGTGAATTGTTTAAGCAATCTGATTGTAATGATAGTTTAGCATGGCATCCCGTAGGAATAGTGTTTCTCTCATAGTTGCTATAATCACTACGGATTCTGAAGTAGAACCTGTAGGAACAGGGTATGATATCAGTGGCACCGTTACTACCTCTTTGTAAGGTGGGGACCCCAAAATGTTTCCGGCCTTAAAGGAGCTCAGTCGTGGTATTTTGAGTTATGCTGGCCACGTACAAAATAACATTTAAATTGACGAAAACCTGAAAATAATAGTTTACTAAGAAAGAAAAACACCAAAGAGATAATAAAGGAACAAGGAGCTTAGAGAAGATTAACACGAATTGCAAACGACGAACTTGAAAAGTTTAGGCTCAGCTTTTCAAGATCTGCAAACCTTGACGTAGCTCCTTTAAGTAATTTCCCCAGAAAGAGAGGAGGGAAGGAGGTGCTGAGGGCGGCTCCTTCCCTTGGATCCACCACTTGGTATAACGACAGAATTCTAGTATTACTTTGTTTCAAGTTTGCGTGATATCTTTTTTTTAAGGGTGCAAAAGGTAGACAAGGTCCTGCGGGAGAACCTGGTAAAGATGGCGAGTCGGTGAGTCATAAAATGAACTAGGGTTTGTTCATGGCAATTCTTCTCCGCTGTTATTGATTACATAGGTGTTCTCTGCCCCCCTCATCAGCTTAAAGTTACTGGTTACTTCTAGATCACAATGGTACAATTGGTGCAATGGCGCAACTGAATTTTTTATCTTTAACTTTTATAAGGTTATTGTAATTTT